GGAAATATTTGAGCTTATTGTGTAATTACATTTATAGGTATTTTTATGTGCATATATGTGACCTACCCATTTAAAGTGCAAACTCTTTGAAATATAAAACTGCAAAATGGACCCCAACACTTAGCACATCAGTTGCGACATGTGTAGAGTAGATGGAGTTTTGTCCTAAGCTTGTGAGAGGCATTAGGTACACTGTGCTTTCTCTAGCAATCAACTCCATTGTGAGCTCAGAGCTCAAAATGCAAGGCTTGGGGTGCTTATAGAGTTAAATTTTGTCAGGATCAATGCTGTAACTTCCACGTTTGCATTCCCCTTTCCTTACTACAAGTCACAGAAAGTGTAGAAAGGCTGTAGGTATGGGAGAGGAGGAAGAAGTTGGAAAATTATCCAATGCCAGGAATTCCTTGGGGTGGTGTTATGGGGGTGTCACAGGAATATGAAAAGACAGAAGGGAAAGGCAGGCAGAGGCATCACCAAAAAAGTGACAGGAGCATGCCTCCTTTATAATTTTGCAAAGCCTTCTTGATTTTGTACCTTAAAAAATATTTAATAACAAAACCTAATTAATGTTTGAATTATGAAGTGACCTAGGGACAAAACTATGGTAGGCAGAATAGTGCCCTCCCACAAAGAAGTCCATGTCCCAATCCTCAGGACCTGTGAATATGTTATCTTACTTGGCAAAGAGACTTTGCAGATGTGATCAGTTGAGGATGTTGAGGTGGGGAGATTATCTTGGATTATCTAGTTGGTCTTAATGTTGCCGCAAAGGTCCTTATAAGTGAAAGTGGGACAGAGCCAGAGGGAGGTGTGCTGCTGGTTTTGAAGGTGTAGAAAGGGGCCATGAGTGGAGAAATGTAGAGCCTTTAGAAAAGCCTGGGAAATGCAAGGGAACAAATTCTCCACAAGAGGCTCCAGTAAGGAACAGCTGATTTTACCCTTACCATGACAGACTTCTGACCTACACAACGTTATAACAAAAAAATATGCATTGTTGTAAGCAATTGAGTATGGTTATTTGTTACAGCAGCCACAGAAAACTAATAGAACAGCAAATGCAATGCATCAGGCACTTTATGGGAAGACCTAAGTGGGACACCCAACATAAACTGGGGAGCTCAGGGAAGGTTTTCTTATACATAGGAAATAAATGGAGAAGGAGTTTCCAGGTCAAAGAGGAGGAGAAAGAACATTCTAGTCTATGGAGTTGGGAGTAGAGGGTGAGACAAGAACAAAAAAGGGAATAAGGTAAGAAACAAGAGTTGGTTTGGAGCACTACAAATCATCCAGCCTTGTTGAAAAATAATGCAGCAAAGATGAAGCAGGAAGGACGGACCAGAGAGAGGGGAGCAGCTTCTCTCCCTGGGGAAGGGTTTAGGCTTTCAATAAGAGCTCATGGGGAGGCAATGAAGCATTTTAAAGAATGGTGTGTGTTTGTGTGTGTATGTGTGTGTGCCTGTGTTAGAGGCTGGAATGACAGTGAAATTTGCATTTAAAATTGCACTAAATATATGTATGTGTGTATAGACACACACATATATTTTAAATGCAAATTTAAAATAAATTTTAATACATTTTAAATGCAAATTTAAACTAAAATTGCACTAAATGCATACGTGCACGCGGACACACACACACACACACACACACACACACACAGACACACCCCTTTTCCTTTTAGCAAATAGTCCTTGAACAGAGATAAACAACAGTGATTTCAACTATGAACCTGGGCTCAAAGGCCACAAGCTACAGGCTCTCAATATCACAAGGCAGGGTATTAGATTTACAATCAGACCCTCCTTCAACGTGGGTGACAATTTGTAGTTCTTCAGGAGGGGAGAACTTAATGTGGATAGTCTTAAGGCATGGAGGTATACAGGTCTAGAAAATTTTAAATAGTTTGTACATATGCTGTCATAAAAATAATAATCAAAGGCAATAGCTGTAAGAGAAATTCATAAACATCAATCCTGCCTCATCCCTAACCCCCCAATATCGAACCTCTGAGACACACCACTGATGTTTTAAATTAATAATAGTTTATAGATTCTCCTGAGCTTTCCTCTGGAGGTTGCTAATATATTGTAATTCCACACTCTTATGAATCCTGAGTTTTCGCTGCTCCCTTCCACAAGAAATTTATTAAAATTACTGAGGGAAGAGTCTGTTTGCAGAACTATGAACTAAAATTATGATTTCATCCTAATTAGAATGGCCAGTTTCACCTAAAGTCTCCCCTCTCCCCCCAGAAACATACACAAAAATCTCTGCTTCATCTCTGATCTTGTCAATTTCTTATGGAATATTGTCTCAGTTCCAGGGGCTATAACAAAATAAGATAGACTAGTATTAAACTGGCTTAAACCACAGTTAACCACCATTATTTATTTCTCACAGCTCTGGAGATTGGGCAGTCCAAGATCAAAGCACCCGGAGATGTAGTGTTTGTAGGGGGCCTGCTTCCTGGTTTGCAGATGGCTGTTTTCTTGCTGTGTCCTCACATGACAGAGATCTCTTCTCTCCCTGTTTCCCTCTCTTTGAGACAGAGTCTTCCTCTGTTACCCAGGCTGGAGTGCAGTGGTATACTCTCAGCTCCCTGCAGCTTCTGCCTCTCAGACTGAAGTGATCTTCCCACGTCAGCCTCCTGAGCAGCTGGAACAACAGGCGTGCACCAGCATGCTTGGCTAATTTTTGTCTATTTTGTAGAGATGAGGTTTTGCCACGTTGCCCAAGCTGGTCTCAGACTCCTGGGCTCAAGCAACCCACCTGCCTTGGCCTCCCTAAGAGATGGAACTACAGGCATGAGCCAATGTGCCCAGCCTATTGTTGCTTCTTATAAGGGCACCAAAATCCATTCATGAGGGCTCCACCTTCATGACGTAATTACTTCGCAAAGACCCCACTTTCACCATCACATTGGGGATTAGGATTTCACTCTACGAACTTTTGGGGGTGAATACAAATCATTCAGTCCATAGCAGATACAGTGAGACTTAGGTATAAAATGTTTTCCTTTAACTCTTACTTTTTCTTGCTAATTTTATTAAAAGTAGTTGAAAGATAGAAAATGAGTTAGCTCGGCAGTTCTGGAGTACTTACTGGGCCATCCATCCTGTGTTTACCCAGCTCAACCCAGGCTAATTTCCCTCTCCAGGAAGGGTCAGGGCAAGGAAGAGAGGTAGACAGGTCTCAGAAAGCAGGCAGTGTCAAATGCTGAGCAAAAGCCAAGCTCAGAAAGAGGAAATGTGGTGTTTATAGAACCAACTTGCAAAAGCAAACATTAGCGAACCAAAGCAATGTAACAAATAATTCTCAACAGCTGGATTTCTTCAATGCTTAAACTTGTAATAAACATCCATGGCTATCTTTGGAACATGATTTTTTCTGTAAATATACATAATCTATTTATATAACCTCAAGGATTAGTTAACAAAAAAATTAACCAAGAACCATCAACTTTCACTTCTCCAATTGGGTCACAATCCACAAGTTAATCTGTTAGGAAAAACAATAACGTTTCTCTCTAACTGTGGTGGGAATCAGTAATTGCAGGTTTCCCAGGAAGATTCTGAAAAGCCCTTGGATACTGAAGGATTTGGGTTGCAGTTTTCTCAATCCGTTAAATGTTGAGTCAGGGGAGAAAATGCACTTTTTTTTTAACCCAGAATTCTAAACATTGATGAACTTTCAGAGAAACACAAAAGCCAACATAAAAAAGGTCCCAGTGGGCAAAGCTGGAACCATTTGAGCAACAAAATAAATAATGTAGTATTGAATTATATCCCAAAGTATAAAATAAACATACATGAGTCCATACTGACATAAACAAATGATTTAATAAACAAGGAGATGCAACAAATCTTTCTTACACAATAATTCTAAATAATAATATATAGATACTCCCTCCTCTGGGATGGAGTTTAATCTTGCCCTCATCTTGAGTGTGGGTTGAATTGAGTGACTGCCATTCAGAGTAGAGTCTATGGAAAGAGAAAAACACCTTTGCAGTAGAGAAACCTGGCACACACAACCTTAACTAAGGGATCAGGGTCGAGTTACCAGTGATAAGTCATGTGGCCATCCTGCCATCGTCCCTGAGGGGATGCAATGGGGAAGGCAATTCATCTCTGTGGCTTTCGTCCCCTGAGTCTCACCATAAGAAAAAAAACGTTAGACAACACCCACATGACTGGGTGTTGAGGTACCTCCACAAATCTACACCTTACCAGAATACTTTCTCATAATACGTTACCAGAATTCCTTACAGCTGTCAAGGTCAAGAAGAGACTGAGAAACTGTCATGGATTGGAGGAGACAAAGGTCACAGGAAGCTAAATGCAGTGTGGTATCCCGCCTGGGATCCTGATAAGGAGAATGGTTAGCCAAAAAGCCAGTGAAAGCTACATCAAGTCTGGAGTAGTGTTAATAGCGGCAGATCAATGTTAATTTCTTTTAAAAAATATTTTTTAGTAGAAACGAGGTCTGGCTATATTGCCCAGGCTGGTCTTGAACTCCTGAGCTCAAGCGATCCTCCCGCCTGCCTTGGCCTCCCAAAATGCTGAGACAAGGCATGAGCCACCGCACCTGGCCCAATGTGAATTTCCTACTTTTGACAAATGTGCCATGGTTACGGAAGCCGTAGGTATTAGGAGACATCAGCTGAGGGGCATATAGAGGACTCTCTGTACTGTTTTTACAACATTTTTTAAGTTCCAAAAGAAAGTTTTACTAAAAACAACAAAAAAAATGCACTTGTACTCCATAAATTTATGCCAAAAACTAAACACTATAAAATCGAAAAATTATTTTAAAAACAAAAACAAACGTTTATGAACTTAGGGTGCAAATATAACCTTCTTGTAAAGCAGCTGCCGATCATCCCCACCGCCATGCACAGCACCCTAGCGAGGGGCTTGAGGGGCAGAGTCTGACTCTGCGGCGCTGGGCGTGCAAGTCCAGCGACTCCTCCCCGGAGCCTCACCGGCGCCGGACTCTGCCCTGGGCGTTCCCCGCGGGGCGGAGTCAAACCTGTGGGCGGTGGCGGCTGCGCTCGCAGGGCCCTGGCAGCCGGCCCTGGCCCCAAGGCCTGATCGCCCAGGGGAGGAGCAGCACTGGGACCCCGCGCCTGCTAGGCGCCCCCAAAGGTAGGCGAGTCTGGCCACCTACGGGCCCGTCTCTATAGCGCGCCGCGGCATCCCCGCCAGGTGTGTGGTGTCCAGGTGCCTTTCCAGCGGCTTCCTCCAGCGGAGCTCCTGTCATCAAGGACATTTCCTGTAAAAGGGTCCTTGGTGAAGAGGGTAACCCTCCCTGGAAACCTCGGTTCTGGGCTCGGATTTCTGGGCGAGAAGTTTCTTCTCCCCGGGGAAGAATTACTTTTCCGCAGAGAAGAACCCCTCTTTAGCTGGGCGCACACCTGATTATTTACTTAGGTTGATGTTATACAATCCGTTTATCAGGGGTCCCCGCGACTTCTGCCCGCTAATTTCAGTGGCCGTGGAGAAAATCCTTTCGGTAAACGCCCTGACCTGGGAACTTCAGTTTGATAACTTTGACACGTTACTGCCCTCGCATTTTTTTAAGAGCAGAGATGAATGAAGGTGGCTGTCTTCATTCATTTGTGCGGGCTTCAGCAGCTGCAGGTGTAGTAGAAAGAGTAGCCCATTACTTGACCGTTTCCTTAACATTGTGTGGGCATCATGAGATTTTAGAGCTGGAAGTTACAGCGTGCTAGGCGACTAGACAAAGGAACGCTCTTATCTTACCAAAAAATAGTATGGGACCGTGCAAGTGTCGTTTTCAGATTCGGCGAGGACGTAGCTGTGAAGTTTTAGCCTTTTTGGAAGGGAAGACAAAATTGAATGTAAGGATCAGAACAAGCAACAAGCCCTGGACATAAGTGTCTGTTCCCCATTATATTATAACTGTTTTATTTTAGGAATCAAAACCTCTTTTACTTTCTTGGTGTATATAGATCGGATGAAGTGTCAGAATACTAAAAGGAATTATTCTGTTTGTGATAGGAAGGAGATAATCTGTCCTTTTGATTTGACCTAATGCTATTAAATATTCAGAGCTACAGCAGTCTGGTTTTCCAGAAATGTGAGCTGGGCAGGAGTGTCAGTTACCCTGGATGACACAATTGGTGCTGTTGTTAAGCTTTTCCCCAGCTAGAGTGAAGGCCCCTGACACAGAGGAATTTCTGCCCAAGGCAGGGAGTATCCCCGTGTGGTTCCTCAAATATTTGCAGAAACAATGAAAACAACTATACTTCCAGGCTGACCTCATAAGAAAGTTCTTACCTCTTGTTATTTACAAAATAAATTGATTCCTTGTCATAACTAGAAAGAGATTTTTGAAATTAATACAGGTGCTATTTTGTGAATTAGTGATAGGCATGTTATTTGTTAGCTTACTTATTTACAGCATGCTCAACATTGGAGGTGAGTTGTAATCCAAATTTTGGCCACAGCTAATATACCTAAGCTAGATTTAGACAAAGCTAAAAAATGAGTTGTGCATTTGCTTGGAATTATGACTGCAAAGGGAAACAATTGAAGATTTTGATGGGAATGTAAAAGTCTTTTAAAGTAGTAGTTTCACATCTTTCCAACGGAGATATTTACATCCAAATTATGTGACTATGTATTGATTGAAAACATTTCACATGGCAAAATTTTACCACGAATTTACTAACAAGTTTAAATGAATATCATTTACTAAGCACAAAAGCAGCCATATATGTGAGTTTGGAAAACAAAAGAGAGAGAGAGATTGAGAGAGAGAGAATGTGTGTGTACATTCAGTTTTAGAAGCTATCTGGTGCATCTGTAAATTTGTGGGCCTATTCATGTATTCATTGAAACAATATTTATTGAGAGCACTGTGTTCTGTGTGGGAGAACCAGGTGGGAGGGGAATAAGACACATTTCTGTCCTCCTGGAATTTACTACATTGGAGTCTTCCAGGCCACCCCAAGTCAAGTTCATAGATTTGCAGACCACATCAATGATCCATTCTATTTGGACAGTGACTGAAACTAGATTAGTTTCAAATCACATATCCCCTTACACTGATTTAAATACGCAAATCTAAAAATGATAGAGGAGCTCACATGTTATTCTGCTCAGTGGTTTTCTTTTTTGTTTAGGTTGGGGAGGAACTTAGGAATCATGTGTTCCAGGTTTGATGTTATGAAATATTAACCTAAAATAGCTAAGTATCAACTTCATGCAAATTAAATAAAAACTAAACTTGTAGTATGGCTGACAATAATCTAGAGACAAAAATTAATGAACAAAAAATTTAAAACTGAAAAAATCTATCCATTAAATTATTTTTTGGTGTAAATTAGAAAAACATGACTACAATTATATTTCCCCCCAGAGGAAAACAGCATCTTTATTCAAGTTATTCTTACTTTTCCTCTTTTTTTTCTTTAAACATCTTTATTGAAGGTATAATTAACATACCATAAAATACATCCAAGTGTGTAATTCAATGATTTTTGGTAAATTTACTGAATGGTACAACCACTGGCACAATCCAATTTTAAGTAATTTCATCATCCTTCAAACATCCCTGGGGCCTGTTTACAGTCACTCACCATTCTTACCCCCAGCCTCAGGCAACCACTAATATATTTTGTCTGTTTAGATTTGCCTTTTCTGGACATTTCATACAGATGGAATCGTACAATATATAGCCTTTAGCATCTGGCTTTTTTCAGTTAGAATAGTTGTTGAGGTTTATTCAGGTTGTCACATGTATCTGTAGTTGGTTACTTTTTATTGCTTAACTAGCATTTATTCCGTATCATGACTACACCACATTTTGTTCACCATTTGGTAAACGTTTCTGCAATTATGTTTGCATGGTAAAACAGATATATTGGTGCAGCATCCATAGTAGGATAATTTGAGAATAACTGATGTGAGCCAACCTCTTATTTGATGCTTTGACTCTCTTCTATAATTTTAAATATGAATGCCAAGAGTTACACAATGAGGTTCCTATTAAACAGTGATTTTTTGTGTGTGTATAACTGTCTAGAGAACAAACAAACGTTAAGAACTTCTTAACTTGCCTTAGCAATTTGGGATGCTGAGGCAGGTGGATCACTTGGAGCCAGGAGTTGGAGACCAGCCTGGCCAACGTGGTGAAATCCCTTCTCTACTAAAAATATTTTTTTAAAATTAGCTGGGTGTGGTGGCATGTGCCTGTGATCCCAGCTACTCAGGAGGCTGAGCCAAGAGAATTGCTTGAACGTGGGAGGTGGAGGTTGCAGTGAGCCGAGATGGTGCCACTGCACTTTAACTTTGGCAACAGAGTGAGACTCTGCCTAAAACAAAGAAACAAACAAACAAACAGGAACTTAACTTTGCAAGAACATTGACTTTTGATATACCCGTATTAGGAATCGGAAAACTGGAACAGCAGTTCCCAGCCAGAATTGTTTTCTTATATATCTCCATTGACCCTGCCTTTTGCTAACTATTATGGCAAATGCAGTTTTCAGGGGTGCGGGTCATGCTTGACAACTTATGCTTAGAGATCCTCTTAGGGAGATTTCTCTAGTTTACTGAAATCCTTTCATAAAAATCTAGTCAGTTCTGTGAGCCTAAAAAGAAGACAATGTCTCTCTGAGTACCTTTAAGTTACTACATAAATTGAAATTTCCTTTTGGGGAAGAAAAAAGAGCATCAGAATAACTTGAGGTCTGTTTTTGTTTTGGTGTTTTTCAAGACAGGGTCTTATTCTGTCACTCATGCTGGGGTGCAGTGTCAGGATCCTAGCTCACAGAAACCTCAATCTCCTGGGCTCAAGTGATCCTCCTGCCTCAGCCTTCTCTATGACTGGGACTACAGGAATGTGCCAGCAAGCTTAGTTAATTAATTTTTTTTTTCGTAAATGGGGTATCACTGTGTTACCCAGACTGGCCTCCAATTCCTGGCCTTAAGCAATCCTCCCACCTTGGCCTCCCAAAGTGCTGGGATTACAGATGTGAACCACTGGGCCCAGTCCTTGAAGTCTGTTTTATTGGCATTTAGATTGCAAAAGATCTATTTAACATCTACAATTTGAAAAGAAGACAACATAGGTTAAATAATATCATTTTCCAAAGCTGAATGTCTTCATTTGCAGCTCGTTTTTTTCTGCTTGAAATGTCGAAACAACTTTCTAAAACTCCTAAGTGAGAATAGTGCTACTGTTTTGATGATCTGTGTGTGATTGGATGGAGTAATCAATCTCAATTGGTAATATCCCTTTGTTTCCTTGGTAAGGATTTTTAAAATTCTAAAACAAATGCATTTTTTTCTAGCCTTACAGTGATGATTTTACACCAAGTATCTCCTGAGAGTTATTCACCATCTACAGAAATTCATCTTTATTGTTCTCACTTTCATATACTCCAGGGATCAGGATCAGGATGGAGACATTCATCATGCTATGTTGGTTCATAAAGAGGAAGAAAGCTTGATCAGTATTGAGCTGTAAATGCTTGCTATTTATTTTGATGAGGTCACTTATATTGTTGTGATGTGATACAGAAACTTTGTTTTATCCAAAATGAGAAGCTGCCTCTGACACTTCTATCTTTCTATTAACACCTGGATTTTGGTAGGATGCTGCTCTTGGATAAGTCAAACATCTTCATGGTGTGGGAGGGTGGGCAAAGGTGGTGATGAAAAGTAGGGTCATGACAGAGCGTGGTGGGTGGCTCACGCCCATAATCCCAGTACTTTGGGAGGCTGAGGTGGGTGGATCACCTGAGGTCAGGAGTTTGATACCAGCATGGGCAACACGGTGAAACCATGTCTCTACGAAAAATACAAAAATTAGCTGGGTGTGGTGACATGTACCTGTAGTTCCAGCTACTTGGGAGGCTGAAATAGGAGATTGCTTGAACCTTAAACCTGGGAGGCGGAGGTTGCAGTAAGCCGAGATTGCACCACTCCACTCCAGATTGAGTGACAGAGGGAGACTCTGTCTCAAAAAAACAAAATAAAGAAAGAAAATTATGGTCCTGGCTGTTTCAGGCCCTGCATAAGTAGACATTTTCATCATTGATCCAACAGTGTATGTGCAGATGGACAAATATGAAGAATGAAAACATTGTGCATCTAGAAAGCTATTAGAAAAGCAA